GTACATGCAAATGCATACATACAAATACAGAAATATATATATATCTGAATATATATGTGTATAGCTATGTTCACCTCAGGTACAGGACAGAAAATAGAATAAACAAGTAGAGATATCAGTATGCATTTTTAAGTTATAAAATATCAGAATTAAATTTTAAACATAAAATTAAAATAGTATTTTTTTTAAAATATTCATTTTATCAGGAAAATTTGAAAGTAGCACTGTTTTAGTCTCCTCAAAATTAAGTCAAGTCAGAAAAGAAAAGTGTTTCTAGAGTCCTCAATGAGAGTAAAAAAAAAAAAAAAAAGCAATACTAAATTTTGACTAAAGTTGTGATAGATGGGAGGGGGGTGGGAATTATGAAATCCTAAAAAATGACACACTTAAACAAAGAATACATCCCACTGTATTTATTACATATGTCACCAATCAGAAAAAAGAAAATTTTCAACTTGATGCCACATTTTAGCAGATGCATTATAAAAGATTTGAAATATATATGCATAGACATGTTAAACATAGTTGACATTATCTGTCCTTTCAATTTAATAAAACATGTATATATTTGAGTAGCAATTTTTCATACAAGTGAATGAATGGTTGGTTCAAGTGTATGCTGAAAGTGGTTCAAGACTATGCAGAAATTATTCACAGATTTTATTGTCATTTAAATGTTTTCATTGATTCTCTGATCATCCTAAGAAACAAAACATAGAGGTGTCATTTGTCAGGAAAAGATGAAATAGTGAACTAAAGCTAACATCATATTGGCATTTTTGTGGATGTTATGGTCTTAACTTTTTACATCAGAAGACGTCATTGGACAAAAAAAAAAAAAAATCCATTGGTTCCAGTGACAGCATCTTTAATCCTTTAATTATGAAAAAAATTTCTAAATTTTTTATATTTTTCTATTAATTATTAAAAATATTGAAAACACCATTTCCAATACAAAAAGATATATATTTTTAATGCAAGTTATTTTTTGTTATAAGTGTTTTGGGAATTTGAAGTCTGCTTGCAAGCAATATTGAATAAGATGTAGGTTTTGTCAATCATTATGAATTTCTTATTAGTAAAAAGATGATGTTTAATATATGATTGCAGTGCATCATTTTAATCTACAACAGGGTATTCTGGTGGTAAGGACAACAAAAACAATCTTCTTTGGAGTTGCAATCTTCTATTGGACATAATTCATATGTCACACTTTTCTTTTTCTTTTGAAGATACAAGAACAGATAATAAACATTATCGACAAATTTTGCATTGTTTTGAACCAATTCTGTGTTTGTGTATATATCTTATGACATAGTAACACTCACACCAGTGCACCATCTGTATCTGCTCTTTAGATAGTGATGTATACAGCAAGAAGGTTATGTATAGTGAAAGTGCCCAGTGGAGGTGTCATGCAATAGAGATACAAACATGCTCCTTTTGTTCAATTAGAGCCATTTCAGAATGGTTAAATTGTGTGCCTTCAAAAGGCTGGATGGTCATTTCAGAGAATTCTGCATACATTAAATCTTGACAACAATGGTCAAGTGAACATTCCTACATCCATAAATCATGTTCTGGAGAGTCACATAATACAGATACTCATCAAAATGCACACATTAGTAAGGGCAACAGTGGTAGATTCCACAGGATATATCTGAGTAGATGGGGCTCACTTGTGTCAACATGGACTGTTAGGAAATTTTTTACTTACACCATATCTACAGTCATCCAGAGCTCTAACCAGACTTACATTTATGCCCCACAACACCAGCATGCATGTCTTTAGTAGCATTGTCAAAATGTCAACTGAAAGGATCAAATGGCATTCTGTAGTATTCATGAATGAGAGCACATTCTGCACTTCATATAAATAAGTCATTTACATGTGTGACATATACCTGGAGAGTGACATCCTCCATAATATATTCACACATGACACAGGCCCAACTCCTGATTGGTATCATGGTATGAGGGTGCCATAAGTTACACTTACTGTTCACCTTTGGTGTTTATCAAGAGTAAGAAGATCAATGTATATCCAAAACACTATTTGATCCATTCTGCTGCCATTTCTGCACCAATAACGTGACGTGCTATTCCAGAAGAATAATTCCTGTCCACAATATGCCCATGCTATTCAACATACTTTGCCAGATGTTTGTCAGATTACCTGGTCAGCATGATTGTCAGACTCATTTCCCATTGAACATATATGGGACAATCTATCAAGAAGTACAAGAAACAGGAAATAATCTAGCACTAGAAAGTATTTTGCTATCTGTATGATTGTATGTATTTAAAATACAGGCCCTTGTTAACATAACCCATAAATATGGTATCTGAGTACAGTTGATGCACCCCCTTTTTATTGGGGGGGGGGAGACATGTGTATGTACAGATCTGGAAATGTAACCCATTTCTGGCTAGATTATCTGTAAGTTTAATCCTGAGTGAAATGGAACTTTGAAAAGATGAAAGTTTATTTTTGTATCAGTATATGTTCTGATTAACAAATTTTAGATCAAGTATAACACAAGGCCATATTAATGGAGCACATGGCACAAATCAATGTATCAACAAATTAAAGGAGATTACTAAGCATTAAATTCAGTGTCTAAATGCACTATTCTCTTTTGATAATATATTTTCAAAAATCAGGGAATTCAATTTAAAATGTGAAAAATTAAGTCAAATATAATATTTTTCATTGATGTAAATACTTGCAATCTGTCTATACTAGATATAATAAAAGATATTTGCACACCATAGTGCAGTCCCAACTTGGCACTACAAGAGCATTTTGTGCAAGCTTGCAAAGTCTACGACAGGCTCAGGGGATTTGCCTGCAACATCTGCCATCTAATGCAATGTGCTGGTTTTACCAGAACAGATTTTAATGGTATCATCGCTGAATCAGCTGCTTCCTTTTTATTTATTTTTTTGTTCAGGTTTCTGCAATAGACAAGTTAGCCTTCCTCAACAGAATTAGATGGTTATAGAGATAAATAAAAATGATAAGGATGATGTCTGCTGAGTGAGACCTTTCACTTATTGTGTGCACAGAGTATCACGGATATCTTTCACAATAACTCTTCTTATACTCCCAGTCTCTCTCTCTCTCATTTTCTTCACTATTTTTGTTTCTCCTGTTCTTTCTCATTGTTTAACTTACTCCATTTTTTTTTTTTTTATCAACAAACTTTCTCTTCTTTTTAGATCTTTTAAAAATTTCTGTCCACTCAATTATGTTTATTCTTCTTTTTGTATCTGTTTCTTTTTCTCTATGTTTAATGATTACCTTCTCTTTTTCTATCTTTTTTACCCTTAATCTCTTTACTCATCTCACTTATTCTTCAATCTCTCTTTTTCCAATGAGAAATTTGACAAGTCTTTGATGGCAGTGGCAGGTGTCCAGAAAACAACTTCTGTGAAATAATTGAATAAAAAGAAAGCTGTAATGAAAGAATGACAGAAATAAGAGTGAGTGGAAAGTATGAGTGTTTCAACAAACATGTGAGCATATAGAGTCAAGCAAGTATCACTCATTTATGTATCAGGGCAGGTGCTTAGGATTCAATCAAACATACCAAGTCAGAGCACAGAGTATATCTTTATGCTTGTATGAGTTTATGTGTATAAGAAAAAATATAATCATTGTGTGTGTATATAAGGTATATACCTACTCATACAGAATCTGATATATACTCATACAAGTACAATGACTTAAATAGTCAAGCTTCTTGAAAGTGGCAAGATCCTATGGATTCAGTCAGAAATAAGCTTGAGGTTTCTGGTGAGGAAATGTTATTCATGATTAAGAGAAAGGAACATTCACAGTTTGACTTCATAAGAACAACTAAATTTATTCAGTATGTCATGAATATTATCAACCAGGATTCCAGAAATTTGATAAGGATCATTACAATCTGAACCCGACTTGTGGTACACGAGGACATCAGGTACAAATCATACATGATTAGCAGAGGGCAATTCATGTCCAGCAGGAACTGGGAGAATCATGTGATCCAATCAACCAAGTAAACAGGAGGGTGGCTCCCTGGATCAATAGTTGAGTCTGAGAAAGCCATACATATTCAGTAGAGTTCTGCTGTTTAGGAGTGGCTGGCCAAGAATTTTCACAATCATATCACACCCAGCATGTGACCTTCTAACTCTCCAGATTTTAATACTCTGGATGAATATATCTGAATTGTTGGATTGAGAGAGATCAACCAGCAGTCCTACAATATAAGGGACTCCTTGAAGGCTGCTGTTATGGCCAATACCAACAAGAAGTATCTAATCTAAGAATGCAGTCATATACAACACTGTATTGAGGCAGTTCTCAAGCTGAGAGCAGTTTTATTAAATAACTGTTTCATTTCTTTTAAGTTGAATATTTATACAAATTATTTCGAAAATATAAAAGGTATATGAATATCTTTATTTTTCTTTATATTATAATCTGATCTCAATTATCGGGAACATTATGCGCGTGTGTGTATGTATAAATAAATGAACATTAAATTAATGTATGAATTGTTCCAGCTGAGTTTTGATGAATTTCCACACACTTTACCAGACTTGCTTGCCAGATAAAACCAACCAACCAGCTAAAACTACAGGTCTATGCTGACAGGTTAAAATGTGCTGTATTAATGTCTTACTGTCAAATTAGACATGGAAGTAGTAAGATGTTTAGATAAGACAAAAGTGGCAAGAGAAAGGTCTAAAGCAATACTCAGTCACAATGTAAGCAGAGCCAAGTTAGAAAGATGGAATTAATAATTTCATTTGGCTGGACTAATAGAATAACAGAAATAAAATCAACAAACAGGGAAATGGAGAAGGTGACTTTTGGTGCATATAAGTCTTTCAGAGTGACAATTTTTCTCAACTGGAATGGTCAGTGTACTATGACAACCGATCAAAAATGATACAGTAAAAATTAAGAAACGAATAAAAGAAAAAATGAAGAGATGATGAAAGGAAAATTAAAAGTAAAAGAGAGAGAGGGTGAAGAAATGTGGACAAATTGAAAAAAAAGTGGGGAGATTAAAATAAAGAAGGAAAAAGAGAGCAAAAGAGGAGAGGGACGGGAAAGCAAAAGAGAGAGAGATAGGGGGAGAGAGAGATAGGGGGAGAGAGAGATAGGGGGAGGAGAGAGGGAGAGAGAGAGAGAGAAACGAAAGCAAAAGAGAGAGAGAGAGAACGACGGAAAGCAAGAGAGAGAGAGAGACGGGACGGCAAAGAGAGAAAGAGAGAGAGGGACGGAAAGCAAAAAAGAGAGAGAGAGGGACGGAAAGCAAAAAGAGAGAGAGAGAGGACGGGAAAGCAAAAGAGAAAGAGAGAGAGGGACGGAAAGCAAAAGAGAAAGAAAAGAGAGGGACGGGAAAGCAAGAGAGAGAGAGAGAGGGGGAGAGAGAGGTGGTGGGGAGAGAGAGGTAGGGGGGAGAGAGAGTAGGGGGGGAGAGAGAGGGGGGAGAGAGGTAGGGGAGAGAGAGGGGAGAGAGAGAGGGGAGAGAGAGGAGGGAGAGATAGTGACGGGAAAGCAAAAGAGAAAGAGAGAGAGGACGGAAAGCAAAAAGAGAAAGAGAGAGAGGACGGAAAGCAAAAAGAAAGAGAGAGAGGACGGGGAAAGCAAAAGAGAAAGAGAGAGAGGGACGGGAAAGCAAAAGAGAAAGAGAGAGAGGGACGGAAAGCAAAAGAGAGAGAGAGAGGGACGGGAAAGCAAAAGAGAGAGAGAGAGAGGGACGGGAAAGCAAAAGAGAGAGAGAGAGGGACGGGAAAGCAAAAGAGAGAGAGAGAGAGGGACGGGAAAGCAAAAGAGAGAGAGAGAGAGGGACGGGAAAGCAAAAAGAGAGAGAGAGAGGACGGAGCAAAAAAGAGAGAGAGAGGGACGGAAAGCAAAAGAGAGAGAGAGAGGGACGGGAAAGCAAAAAGAGAGAGAGAGAGGGACGGAAAGCAAAAAGAGAGAGAGGGACGGAAAGCAAAGAGAGAGAGAGGACGGGAAAGCAAAAAGAGAGAGAGAGGGATGGAAAGCAAAAAGAGAGAGAGAGGGACAGGGGAAAGCAAAAGAGAGAGAGAGGGACGGGAAAGGAGGAAAGCAGAAGAGGAGAGATACAAAAGGGGGAAAGCAAATGAAAAGAGCTACAAAAGTAGATTGAGTCGCAGTAAATAGTAGTGAGTAATAGTATTTGCAGTATAGTTGTCAACCATTAATGCTGAACTATTAAATCAAATATGAGTAAAGTCAATGATCAAATAAGATCCAATCATCCAACAACAATGGGTCAACTTCAACCTCGCTATTCCCCCTACCTATCCTGATAGAGGGACACTGATTATTGATTCCCCCCGCCGTTATTTGGTTGGTTGGTCCCTGCAGATCTGCAATTTGTTATACCCCCACACTACACACACAAACACACAATTTCTATTGTTTCTCTTCCATCTCTCTGCTGCTTCTGGCCTTTTATTTCATTTTTTTTATTTTTTTTTTTAGACAAAGCCTGTAAGCCCTCTTCAGTCAACCATATCCTTCCAAAATTACTTCTCTCTTTTTCTCAGTCCATAGTGAAATAACATGCTTACCACTCCTCAAATTCACTACACCTACTATATCTGCCCGACTGTCCTCACTCTGAAACCAGATAACTTATTCTGGAAAAATCTCAAAAAAGAATTATCATTATTCTCTGACTTTACTGGTGTTGCATTTGCAAATTTGGCTCAAGAGGTGTGTGAAGAGACTACAGAAAGATCTGCAGTTCTCTTCCAACTGCCAACATGGTTAGACTAATTATAAACTAAAGGAGAAAAAAAAAAGACAATTTTAAACCAAAGTAAATACTCTTCTGCATAAAAGTCACCCCTTTAAACTGTACTTATATATACCTTTATTACTATACCCATTCTATTTACTTCTCTCTTGACCAAATCTTCCATATGATCAAACACTTGTAAATGTGGGAAGTGCAAACACTATTAAGATCTATTGCTATCACCAAGCAAAGGCTAGTATCATGTAATTAGTACCATGCAAGTTACTTTAAAAATAAGACAACACCAAAACTTCAGATAAGAAAAGAAAAACAGCGCAAAAAAAAAAAAAAAAAAAAATGTTCTATAGAGCAAAATCCAACATGTTTAAGCAGAACAATTATAAATTTGCATGAAACAAATACAGTATTGTTTATTTAATTATTCTTTTTTTTCTTCTTTTGGCACAGAAAGATTTCATTCAACAAAATCTTCTACAATGATAAAATATTATTGCTTGTTTTCCTCTTCAACTTTACACAATGTAAACAGACTTATGCTTGTCACTGTCATCTTAATACCAGGCTAACAGTAAAATTGTTCTTTTGTGCAACAATTAGGATTTGACTTTAGCTGGATCCTTTTCAATAAAGCAAAACTAATCTGGTTGAAAGAGAGAGATCTGAGCACACCCCCTTTCAAACCCAATACCACTTCAAAACAAAAGGTCAAATGAGAAAAGAAAAAAAAAAAAAAGATACAGTTGCAAATAACTCATTGCCTGAAGAACATTCAAAAGTAATCATAACAAAATGTTATAAGCTTGTTTTTTTTCTTCTTCTTTTTTTTCTCTTTCTTTATGGTCTGTCATCACAGAACTGAAGTTAGAAATACTGTGACCAAATTTTCTGTGGTTACCAATGAAATCTGGAGTATGATTTTAGTATATTAGTCTTTCAAAATTCTATAACTTTTAAAATTTTTAACAAATAGTTCAATCTACAGGGTGCAATAGGTAAATTGTTGCCATTTTATATTTTTAATTTCATGCATGCGCGTTATTTTTGATTTTGTTGACTGCACAGTATAGTGGGGTTAGTTGGTGACCAACTGTGAGAAAAATAGCACCCCACTAAAAATTTGGAGACGGAATGCTGTTCTGCTTGGTATTTACACCAGAAGCTCCAATATGAACATTTCAGAATATTTGGGTGTCAATCTGAAGAGAGTGCAGAGGATTCAGAAAGTGTTGGATGAGTCTAATGGTGATTACTATTAATGGTGAAGGTATAGCAGCTCAGAAACTCACTCTGCTCATTCTGATAAGAAAAGAACTCCCGAATTTCTAGTGAGAGCCTCAGACTCAACACAGAGGTCTACATTAAGTGCCCTGAGAAGGTAGTACTGCCCTGGGTCAAGAGGATGGTTGCTGGAAAACCCTATTTTTGGTAAGAAGACTCTGCAACATGCCACACAAACAGGAGAACCCAGTCATGGCTGTCAGACAATTTCTGTGCCCACATCAGCCGTTATATCTGGCTACCTAACTCCCCAGACTGCAACCCCCTTAATTATTATGTTTGGGGTGCAGTTGAGCAAGAGACCAACAAAATTCCTTGTAACACCAAACATGAACTGAAGGCAAATTAAACAAGGAGAACATCCAGAAGAGTTGCAGGAGATTCCAAAGTCGTCTGGGGGCCATGAATGAAGCCAATGGTGATTTTATTGAATAAATTCACTCTTTAGTATTTCAAGATATTTTTTGTGTAATTTTAGTAGACATATCTGTTAAAATGAGTTGTCAGTGTTATTTTCATTTTCATGTAATTTAGACAACAATTCATCCCTTGCACCCTGTACAATTCAAGTATGATGCTAAATTGAATCCTTACTTTGTGTCCATCAGGTTAGCTAAAGTGAATCTTTATCTTTTCATTTAACCAAATATGGAATCATTTGTGAAACTACCATCACAGATATTTAAATTAAATATGATCCAATAGTTTATATTATAGGTGATGGTTTTTAAGTAAGCTATGATTTAATAAACCCATCTCAATTTGGACTTTCATATGAACTAGATTAAAATCCAACCTGTAGGACAGAATTTAAGATAGTAATAAAAATCTGATATAACAATCAGAACAGACAGAATAATAATAAATACAGCAATAATCACCATAGAAGAAATTAAAATTCACAGTTTGTGATAAATGAAGAATTCATAATGACAACACAATTAGTAACAGCAACAATGAAGTTTAATAATAATAATAATGATAGACAATAACAATTGACTGATATTTGAGAGAAGTTAAAGGAATAATAGTGGTAGTGATAAAAATTATAATGGATCTAACAGTTGCATTATCTTTAATTAGACCAATGAAAATAAACATGTAACATTGATAGTGAAGCTAATACCAATTGGACATATAATGACAAAAAAAAAACAAGGACAAAAAAAAAAAAAAAAAAAAAAAAAAAAAACAAAAAAACAAACACAGGTGCCATTCACTAATTGACTTCACTCATCTACTGGAAGCTTTAGTTTGTTACCAGAAAGTGATGATGATTATGGGGATTTCCTGGACACATATATATATATATATATATATATATATATATATATATATATATATTCCACAAGTAATTATAGGGAACAAGAACATAAAAAAAAATGTTGTGTTTTTTCCCCTATGGAAAGGAGCATGTGTGTAATCATGCTTGTGTTGTCAAGGTAACATTATAAAAATAATGAGAAAGCTTTAGAAAAAAAAATGATAAAAGAAAAAAATGCAACAACCCTGCTTCCATGAAGAAATAATAAGAACATAAAGAGGAATAAATACAAAAGAGTTAGAGAAGAATGAAAATAAAAGGGAGGGGGGGATAAATTAAATGAAGAACAAATAAAGAGAAAAGGTAAAGTAAAAAGGATAAATGATGATAAGCAGCAACAACAGGCCATCATAGAAGAGAATATTGACAAATTTCAGTTTTATAAGAACATAAAAAACAAAACACATTTACAACCACCACTACCATTATAGAAAAACATCTATAAATCACATACACAAAGCAATCAGAATATGGAAACTTTCAAACTGATAATTTATTTATACTACTAGAATATTTTATTTTTAAATTACTTTGTCATGACAAAACTAATGGAGGGTTAACTGATCAGTATGGACAGCAAAACATAATACTGTACAAAAAAGGGGGAAAAAACAATGCAAGAAATATTCAACTTTCCAGATTGGTTAATTGAACAAAGTTAGAGAAGAATACCTTAATTTTTTTTACAGTTGTTTTTAATTGAAACAACAAACAAAAATACTATTTTTGTATGTATTTTTTTTTTTTGTTACAAAAACTCTTTATATGTTTACTATTTCAAAACAGTTGTTTTTTGTGAATTTACTTAAAGCAAATATTCTAGCTTTTTACCTACTTTTTCTATTTGCTAAAACACAAATTTTTTATTCTCACACATTATCACCCATTTTAAGGCTTATTCCTAAAGTTGGAATGTTTATATCAACTGTAAAATATAAGGTTTCATGACAACATTATTTTGAATTACTCTTCTGTGGATTATACTTTACTATTTTAACAATTTTCACATTTTACTTGATGCACAACTTTTGATTCACTTGCTTTATTATTATTGCTAATACTACTACTACTAACAAAATGATTGACATAACTCTTCCAATATTTTTCAGCAGTTAAGAGAAGAGCACAATTTAAGAAAATATAAAGAAAAGAAAAAAAACACAGTGTTTAACAATGTTAAACAATATTTTTTCTTTTCTTAAATCAAACTCTTCTCTTAACTACTGCTACTATGACTACTACTACTAATAATAATGGGTAAAATGTTTCTAAAACAAGGCATTTCGGTGCCTAGCTTCTAAAGTTGTAAAAATAAATTGTGTTATCAGTAAAACACCTCCTGCATGAACAAGATTTCTATTAATTTCCTTACTGATATACTGAGCTTTTAAAGTGTTTCAAATAAAAATATATTGTATTTTTTGACTTCAAAATCCAAAAATCAAAACTCAATGTTGTTTTAATTCTGCATGGGTTTAAGCCTTGAACAAATAAAAACAAATTGCTGCACCTACAGTTTTGGTTCACTTTTGCAAAGTTTTTGGTTTTTGAAATATATATATATATATATATATATATATATATATATATATATATATATATATATATATATATATATATATAGAGAGAGAGAGAGAGGCGCTGCAAACATGTGCACAACAAATCAAATTGTTTTCCAAAGCAAAAAAAAGCAAAAAAAAAAGGGCATTTTTATTGCTCAATTCTTTACTGTATCAAATTCTATATAATGTTCACAAATGCACAGGCATATTTTCCATAAATTCATTTCTGGTTTAATTATTATTATTATAAAATCATGATGATGATAATATTAATTGTTCACAATGCTACATCTAATAAAAAACAAAGATAACAGTATTATCAAGTTTATGGTTTTATTTGTATAAATAGGAATTTTAAATAAGTGATATCTTTTACAAGATGTCAAGAAAAAATAGCATCTAAAATGTTATGGATACTTTGTAATAACAGATATATTGAAAATTTTAATTGTATTAAAAATTACTTCCTGAAAGTGATCAAAATGTAATTGTAACATTTCTTTTTTGTAATATTTGTTTTCCGTAAGGCTCAAAAACAAGCTGTGAATGTTTGGTAAATTATTTCCTGGCAGAAAGATCAAAATGCAATGGTATAGCTTTTCAGGCAGAGGTCAAAAAACAAGCAACAGCTTTTGGTTGAAAGATAAGCAGATGTTCAAAGTAAGAAAGGTATGTGAATGTGTGTGTGTGTACACACACACACACAAAAAGAAAATGGTTTTAAGCATCAGGAAGCAGCAGCCTGAGATTATGTGAAAGGGTATTGCTTTACTGGGCCAAGCATAACGAAGCAAAGTTTTTGAGAAAGACAAACAACTCACTTTAGTAATCGCAAAGCACAGCTTAAGCAGACAAGAATGGCTATGAAAAATTGCCAACAACAAAAAGCAGGATGAGATTGGAATACTTTAGGTTAATATGTTAAGATTAGCAAGAGGTAGAAGATAGCTAATGTGGAGGCATAACAAAAAACGCAAAGGAGATTACATTTATTATCCATTCTGTTTGGGGAGATAAGTTTAGGATAGAAATCCTTCACTATGGATAATAAAATGAAAAGAGGAAGCAAGACCAAAGAACAAAACAAAATAGGATGAATATGATTTACAAGTTGTAATAACAGGCACTTACATTTTAGGTTCAGAACACTGGATGCCAATGAGGTCCTGTAGGTTGATGGTATAACTACATATTCACCCAGGAGAAAGAAAACAGAAAGAAAAAAGAAAAACCTACTTTATACTGGACAAGATACATTCAAACATCAGATAGATTTTATTGAAAAATACTTTTTTTTCTTTTAACTAATCTGAAAATTAGACAAAACATTATAAGCACAAGTCTGAATTCCCCATAATCAAGAGAAAATAAAAAATCAAATGTCACAAACTACAGTTTAAATAATATGAGCACAATGCAAATAGTAATATCAGTTGATAATGTTTGGGAGTCGTAAAATTATAAAACTCACAGCTATGAGAAAAGGCTCTTTGTCCAGACATCAAATAAGATTCTTCCACTTCCTGCTTGTTGGCATTACCAGTCTAGAATGGAATCTCATATCTCTCATCTACCAATCTAATATTCTGCTGCTAGAGCTTACTAATAAGTTATGGTAGTATTTGTGTTAGTTGTAGTGATGTTGATGTCATCAGAGTGAGTATACAAAATGGAAATCCATGCAGCAAAAAGCAAGAGTATAGAATAATAATAATAATTATTATTATTATTATTATAAGAATAAATCTAATAGTTTATTGTTATTTACCACTTTGGATATTTTGGTGCTTGTCACTAGGGACACAGCTATAACATGCATGATCAGAGACCAAAAACACAAAAGTCAGTCATGTACAAGATGAACTCCTCAAGCCTTGTCCAGTGAACAGAGAGATTATAAAACCCACACGTGATTAACCCTGGTTGAGTACAGTGTGCGTTTGTTATGGGAGACAAGCACAAGAGTTGGAATAATAAGTGCAATGTTGATCTTAAGAAGTCAAAGGAAAAAAAAAAAAGAAAGAAATAAGTATTTAAGGCTTTGATAAGACTAATTGATAAGCAGTCAGGCTGCAGATAGATATTCATAGAGCAGTGCTTTATTACCAAAACAAACAACTATACATAGTTTCCTGCCCAAGGCAAGAGCATTGAACTGATTTGTCAGAAGATTTAAACAGTACAAATCCTGGGTTTAGACAAGACTTCATAATCCATTCATGTGGAATTTAAAAATACAAACTTATTTTATGCACTTTAATTGGCTAGACAGCTTGAGCATATTCATGATTTACTGAAAATTATTAAATCTGGTTATAAAATAATCTTTTGAAATAATACAAAATGAAGTTAGAATAAATAATAGTGTGAGACGTAAAATTTTAAGAAAAATAACAATTTGATGGTAAAAATTATTAGCTTGATTTTAATAAAAGCAGCATTAGTCTTATTTCAAAAATAACTTTCATCTTGTGCAAAAATTTCATAAACTTATCTTCAACATAGTTTTAAGAAATTTAAGATGCTTCAAGACATAAGACTATAAGATATAGTTATTAGCAGAATTTTGATTCCCAATTTTCACTGTATAATGTTCATTCTACATGATTACATCACTAAATCAAGTTCATCAACAAAAGAGAATATGCTGAAAAATAAATAAATATCTATGGTGCAAAATAAAAGTTTTTCTATATGATTAAGCTGCAGACTTATTGATTTATTTATGTATATTGCCATCAACTTCATGAAAGCTTTCCTATTTGAAAATTCCTATATTAAAATAACAAGACTACCATTGCTCCAAGATACCACTCAAATCTGCTTCCTTTCAAAATCACTGAATTGGGGTCCATGAACATTAAAAGTAATTTTATGGTGGCAAAAAAATAAGCAGTCTTATTTCTTTAAGTGTAGAATTTCCTTAATTTTCCATGTCAAGATATTTGCTGTTGGAAGTAAAAAGTTCTTACTGAAATCATAATTCTTAACCTTAGTGACCACAGTTGTGGTGTTTATAAAGCACAAAAAGATAAAGGAAGAAAAAGGAAATAATAAATACACCCAATAAATTTGAGGCAAGTAATTATTGGAAAAAATGACTGATCCATTTTTGAAACAAACTTTAAACTCTCACACTCTCCACACACCATGATAGAGATAGAGAGGCATTTTTAGATATATCATCAAAAAAAAAAAAAAAAAAAAAAAAAGTCACATGACAAAAGAACAAATAATGAGTTCAAGAAAACAAGATGCCATTTTTGACACTAATTTTCTTTAGTGTTCCCAGTTTACAACTGAACAAACATTGAAGATAGTGATTTTTATGTCAAAATCTAAAAAAGATGGGGGGTTAATAAAAACCAAAAAAGACATATGTCTTTTTCTACAATATCTTTTCATGACTCCTTTGTTATAATTGTTTTCCAAACACTTTATTCAAGCTACCTGAAAAGGTTTTTTTTTTTTGGGGGGGGGGGGGCACATTCCACATATCAATATACAGAATGAAAATCCATTATTTGAAATCTCAACCTTGAAATGAGTAGCAAGTATAGCAAAAGACCAAGTCTCACCTGATTTAATTAGATGGCTCAAGCTCTCCATGAATCCACCCCCAGATATTTATACCACCAAGGAAATTTCAAAGGCACTAAAAGAGACATAGTGTAGGGGGCCAAAGAAATGTGAAAAATTTACATGTCTATAGGGTCTCTACTTTTATTAGTATACCACTTTCATTAATACTATTAATAACTCATTTTTTATCGTTTTCCATATTGCATCTACAATATCGTAAATAATAATCATATGTATTAATATGAACAAAATATTACAGGTTTTACAAAATATAACTAATAATAGTTAAAACAGGATATCTACTTCTAATGGTCAGACAATAACATAATAGTATTGTTGATTTTGCAAGTACTTGTATGTGCCAATTGTTGAGAGCATGTGAAAAGCTGACCAAATGTAGATAAATGCCTGTTTATAACACAATACCTTACCTCGGCCTAGTTTAAAGAGTATCACTAAGTTTTAGCATATATTATTCTGACTCCTATTTCACTTACAATGCTAATTTTAAATCTTATATCATTGTTGCTAAAAAACGTTATCAGAGTATAAGATACTTCATTTCAGAATGCTTTGATGAATGAAGCAACATTAAGATTTCCTTTAATGACTGAAACAAAAAAAAAAAAAAAAAACATTAATTAAAGTTACTTGACTTATCATATATGAGTTTAAATAATTGAGAGTAAATAAGTGCCATGTAGTGTAACTCAAGTGAACTTGGATTAAGTAAATGTGATTTATTTAACAATTTTATATTTGTAGCAGAGTCAAAACAAAAAATATGTTTTTATCTGAATCCAACAAGAAGGAACAGAAAACAAAAGTTATGAAAAAAAGAAACAAAAAATCATAGTGTTTTATACCAGCCATTCAATCAAATGAAAAGTGCAATTCTATTTGAATATGATTAAATTTCCTGAATTCACTGATAAGGATAAGTTTTTCAAACCCTCTCTCAAAAAACTGAAGATATATGCGAAATTAAATGAATGTTCAAATTATCATATATTTAAAAATAACTTTTCAGATGACTTCCTGAAAAGTTAAAATTAAAAAGAAATATTTCTTAATTACATAAGACATACTGAATATTCTTTTTGTTTTTGATTTTTGACATTAGGAATTGTCAATACATTTTGATTTGACTTATTCAAATTTTGATTATCTTGATGTTATAGATACAATGCTTTAGCCAAGTACCCTCTAGCCATAGGTCTTGATTATATTTGTTGATATGGTATATCACTTGATTATCATGTTATTTCATCATTGTCATGCTATTTCTTGTTTATTCCTGCTGAATCAGTGTATATTATTTTACTACCTGATCCAGGGATTGAACAACAATCACCAGATAACAACAACATCTGATTACTCAATGTCTATATCTACTACATCACTGCCCCCAAAATTATAAAAAGTGATACAAACCTGCCATGATAATCAAAATTTTGAAACTATCTGACACTGGATTTAAAGGCTCCAAAAGCCACACCACTGATGTCCTTCTATTGGCCAAAATAATGGACAGCTGAAGATGGCCAGAAAGTACTTGTCTGAAACATTGTTTCTATAATAACATCTTAATAACAAAGATGAGAACACTAGTTCAAATGAACATTCTTTTTGCTCACTGAATTATTTTTACTTTAATTATATTAAATCTTAATCATATGTAATAGAAAAGACCAGCAAATAAAGCATCTAAAGTTAATAGAAATGATGAAGACAGAACAAAAAAAAAAATAATGGCTCACTAGTATAACATCCTGCTTTAAACTACAAAGTCTTAATGTTCCAATCTGATTCATGCTACAGAAAAGTAGTCAGACACACACACACACACACAAAGTGAAATTCTCAAATTTATAAAAAATGACAGCACATACATTTTTCATATTTTTTTCTTTATTAATGACAATATAATCTCAGAAAAATACTCAATACTGATAGCTCATAATGTATAAAGCATATGTTAATGTACAAAAAAAAAAAAAAAAAATTTAATAGTTCAGTGACAAAAATAAAGTTTAAACCAAGGAAAAAATCCTCTTTCTTTAGCAACAGTGAAACCAATATTGAATAAATTTAAAATAAAAACTGACAAATTAAATAAAACCTCAAATTAAAATAAATCTATTTGATATACCTTTTTACTTGTGAAAAAACATAAAAATACCATCAAATACCAACTACTACTGATTAGTGCAGCATTATAAATGGTAATTTGTTAAGTGCAAGCAATTTTTTCTATTACAGGAAAATAACAAGTACTAACATTTAATAAAGAAAGTAGTCAAATGTACTTATATATATATCTCATAGTATTGATCTCATACTAATAAAAATAATTGGAATGCTTATTCTGATAACAATCAGAAGACTAACTCAACTCTAAACAGTTTTTTTTTTTAACCAACTGCTCCAGATAGGAATTCAATGATAGCCGAATAGAAAGCAAGCTAATAAATGGTGACTTTGATTCTCATTGGATAGATTAAAAAATGTAACTTCATGTTAAAACTTGGCTGCCCAAATAAAACAGCTGGCCCAGATATTCCAATAGTCAAAGCATTAGCATTCTTAACAGTCTTTGGACTTACAAATAATAAGATGCAATAAGGTTTATTTATCTCAGTTTATTTGTAAAGTTTAAAACAAATCGAATCCAAAAGGTTATTATATTTTGAGAGCAACAATTTTATCATTATATATTCATTCAAGCATTACAATAAAGAAGTTAGCGATGCACATTCGATTAATGTTATTATTTGCATCAGATTTTCTTTTACTTCAAAAAAGTGGGTAATTATCTATCTTGATCTTTCCAATCAATATAGCCTACAATCATTTATCAAAAGACATATTAAAGAGCTATTTATAATCCATCATTAGGAATATAGATAATTCTATCTTCTCTATAGAAAGCAACAGAGACAGCCCAGTTAGAATTGGGTCAATTTCAATCAGACATGAAGCTGACATTGTGAAGGCCTACTTAAATTAAACTATGAAGAAATTGAATGAGAGGTTGTAGAAGTTAAGCAAATGTAAGTGGCTTGCCAAACAAAAGAGAAAAGTTTCAGTGAAGGTAAAAACGTTGCCTGCTTTGGTAAAATAGAATTCATATAACGGTTGTGTTCCTAGATGATAAATTTTCTGTCTTTATGAGAAAAGTCAGTTTGAAAGGTATCCAACGTTTAAAGCATGAAGCGAATGTTTTCCAGCCCACTGGGTCATAGTGGAATTCTGTGATGCTGTTTGCCAAGATATCCACTGAATTGGTATTTTGTTCTGCTCCAGCATGGAAGATTTGAAGTTGCTTCTGGAACTGTGCAGTCATTGCTGCCAATTGTGACTTCTGAAATTGTTATTGCTTTTGGTGTAAAATCTCTGTAAGCATCTCTGGTGGAATTGCCATGTTGATTTTGAAGTTCAAGTTCTCATCACCAAAAATTTGTTATATGCCAGGTTGTTGTGATGAATGAAAATAAAAAACAAGT